GATTATTTATTCCATAGGTAAAATAAATTTACACTTGGAAACGTCACACTTAAGCTACTGCTCGTTCACTACGCTGACCTCCCTGAGAAGAACGAGCAAGAAACTCTAGGGATTGCTCTTTTAAAATAAACTTAAATGCTATGGAATACAGTTTGAATCAAATTTGTGTGGATTCTGGAGCCATGTCGTCTTTCCATACATCTTTATCTAACACGTAGTCTTCAATTTTGTAATATGATTTTTCGATCAAAATATTTTTAATGTAGTTTTTAAACTTAGGAAATGATAAACTTAATATATGCTCCGGAATCTTATTGTAAAAACGTATACAGTTCCCCATAAAAGAGTTGTTTACATTGGTTAAACGAAATCGTGGTACCATGACTTTGGACTTAGCTCTAAGGTTAATATTATGGATATCTTCTTTCTTATTGAAATTATGTATTTTTTTTAATATTTTTTTTAGTAGTAGAGCTCCTTGTGAAAGAGTTCGTCCAGGGAAGTACTGCCATCTTACTTATTTCTGCCGCGAAGCAGTAATGTGACCATTTACTATATCGTCTGTTTAAAGGTAAAACCACATAAGTGATTTTTTCCACGTGAAACTCAATAACAAAAAAGCTATAAACTCAATAAGAGTTTTCTCTACAGAAAGATGGAGATTTTTTACAACAGGTACACAATTTGGAGGTTTTTTGTGGAAGTCACTTATGTGGTTTTACCTTGAAACAGGCGATATACTGTTTCGGTTTAGAAGGGTAAGGATGCTGGTGACATTACAGGTACATGGGATTTATCAACTCATATCTCAGGGTGACAGGCGTAGTGGTAGCGTCTCTCAGATATTTGCGATTGAAAGCTCTGAGTGGCACTGCACCTTCTATGGACAGGCGTGTCGCTTAACACCAGGCGCACGACTGGTTCGTCCTGTCACTTGGTGTACTTGGTATCCTAAAAAAATAGCTGGCCGGGGAACGAACTCGGGAACTGAGACCGGCGTGCAATACACTCGACCACGGAAGTCGTCTAAGACCATAATAACCAAGCTGTAATAAATTTGGAAAAGTTCGATTCTCAAAATGGTCTTACTGGGAATCGAACCCGGTATTTCCCCATCTAGCACCCGTAAAAAACCCCGCGAGTTGTCTCGTTATTGACTTTCCGACGCCATTGTTAAATACTGAAATGTACCTTTTGTGTTGAAAAATGACCAAGTTATTACTTCGGGGGAGTTATTAGAAAAAAAGACGGAAAAGTCGGGATAACGTTTACGCCCACTGCATTCCGGCCATAACTAAGATTACAGCTTCAATAAAAACGGAACGGCTATTTGTTACGCAACACTGGAAAAAGAATGATGATAAATTTGTTGTATACAATATCGTGAGTTTTCTCTTGAAAGTGGCGGTAATTAAATGGGCCAGTATATTATTATCGTTAACAAGTTGTATTTATAGCGCCCCCCGCCCAAGAGTCCATTTGCCGCCCACCAGGCTGCAGGTTGTCGACCCGGGCGCACATTGTGCCTGTCACGTTTCGTTGCGGAACAAATTTTTTTCCTTATTGTCTCTATTTGGCACAAACTGTGCAACCAGAAATGAGATTAGCAGGAACATGAATATGTATTCGATTAACTACGAGACTGCAATTTGCTACCCCTTGTAGCACGTTTGTTTATGCAAAGCAGAATATTAGATAATATGTGAACTAACATTTGTCGGAATCTCTTTCATACACTGAAAAAAAAAAATGATTTAATTAAACAAGATGTTTAAAGTGATATTGTAATTTGCTTTTAAATCCCAGCTCAAAAAAGAGGGGAGTTGTAAGTTTGAAGACTTTGTTTGTGTGTCTGTATGTCTGCTGTGGAATCGTTGTTTTCAAACGAAATGACTGATTTTAAAAGAGGTTTTTAACCGACTTGAAAAAAGGAGGAGGTTTTCGATTTCACTATATTTTTTCCTTATGTATGTTACGCGATTACTACGGCATTTGTGAACCGATTGTGATGATTCTTTTTTTGTTGGAAAGAGGGTACCCCAGTATTGGTGTCATTTAAATTTGAAGAAAATATTCCACCTCTAAGGGTGGCAACCTAGGTGATGAATCCGGTTTCGCGCACTTTCCGGTAACCGATTTCAATAAAACTTGGCAAGTAGATGTAATTCCACGAACTTTTAAGATCGTTTTTTTATATCTCGTGAAAGAGTTCGTCCAGGGTAGTACAGCCATCTTACCTATTTCTGCCGCCAAGCAGTAATGTGAGCAGTACTGTGTTTCGGTTTTGAAGGATAAGGGTGCTGGTGAAATTACAGACACATGGGACTAGTCAATATGTCTGGGTGACAGAAAATAGCAAAAAATGAAGTTGGCTTAGTGACTTTTGTAATGCACTGTTTTGAATCAGAGTTTTTTTATTTACTTTAAGTTTTATCATCTAAGCCTATGAAGCACAACGATCGCTTCAACAATGTTAAATAATGATGGAACATGTTTTTTTTATTTGGTCAGTCAACAATTGTTACACCAATAAAAGATCACAAAACATACATGCAAAAAAATTTAACTATATAAATCACTTACATAAATAAATAGTCTTAATATCACCAAACAAGCTAAATATCTACTTGATTACAATCGGTTTCTTTTTTCAGTGTGGAATACATTAATGATTTTTAATTATTTCCGTCCATGACTTTAAATCGACGGCTTTTTTGTCCGCTACAAAAATCATTCGAACCACTATGTGGCAGTGGCAGCTGTTTGCAAAGCTATGTGACGAATTTTAGCACCAGTTAGCTACATCTCGTAAGATACGTAGCCAGTGGGCACCGGGAAACGCTGCGTGTGGAAACAGCGTCCACGTTTTGTCGTTCTATATTTATCTACGTTGATAACAATTTTATAGTGAGTATGCCTTATAAAATGTACCCGTTCTATTAAAATTTGTCAGACACTTTACAACGGTTTAAATACATTTTGGACGTCTTGGGAATTTCCAAACGCTTATAAATTGAACGCAGATGTCGGCCGTTTATGTGTACAATTCAATATTTGCTAAGCCAAGTAAACCCGCGGGACAAATCGATTATATTACTGAAACTTACAGAGTGAAATGGAACTGCATCTCGACGGCACTCGTATTGCTGCGAGGCAGTCGGCCGGTGTCAACTCCAGGCCTAACTTACAGTGTATATATATTTCTTTATTGATATGTAACTATCAAGTTTCGCTCGCTACAGAACCGTTCGACTAGTAACTGTAAACTTTTTAACAGCGATCCAAGTTCACTACGATCTTACAATAATTTTTCGTCGTACTAAACTCAAGCTAATATTTTTCGCAACATCTATTTTGTTAAAAAAAGTGTACCCTTATTTTTATTACAGTTTTACTGCTTCCCAATATGTTTTATTGCTGCTAAAGAATACAACTACCGAAACTTGGTAACTTAATTGCCGTATAAATTTTGTTTTTTATTGCATAAAGTGGAGTGAATTATGGCTGAGCCGCGACTCGGACTCCAATTAGGCGACAAAGCCTATATTACCTAAATTATCTGTTATATACTACATGTACGTATCAGTCCTAACCTTCTAACTCAATGAGTCTATAATTGAATTATTTCATCTCCGGGATATATTCAGGGGTGTATGGAGCACCTTATTGGAATCGAATCTCTGAATAAGCCTGATATTCAATTTACTAACAATAAGACCCGTGTTTTCGCGAGGAATTCTCAAATGCCAGACAAGAGTATAAAGTTACACATTTACTACTTATTCGTGTCTAACGATGTTTGTTTTGTTCCCTATAGGTACATGTTTTTATTGTACCTAATGAATGACTCTACTTAAGACATCAATTTTGAGCGGCTTAAGAGAATGATAATGCACACATTTATCATCTGTAATGGTCGTTAGTAAATTAAGTCTTGTTGCTTACCTTTTAGAATTACACCTGCAAGTTATTACCGTAAATTAGCTAATCGTAAATAAACTTATAATAACAATCGATTTCTAGACTCCACAATTGGATGCAATTAGCAAGATGTATTGCAATGCGTGTGAAATATTTTACTCTTGTATTGGAGCGCGTGCGAACTTAATTATCAGACAGCGAACATTCCATAAACCAATAATTAAAAAGTTACTATCAACGTATTTTTCATTATTTTTTACTGTAAATACGTCGAATTCGACTTGTGAAAGTGGTATTTATTTAATTATCGGGGAAGTCTCAAATAACGCACTACACAAGACTGTTCGTTACGTTACGTAGTATTTACGAAAGCATTAGTGCGTTTATAGCGTGAGGAAGCAACTTGGTAAAGTTGTATTATAACTTGACTATTTTTAGAAGGTGCTGCACACGTGCGTGCCCTCACGCAGTAGAGCATTAAAATCGCGCTTATATCGGATATTCCTTGCGGAACAGCTGTCGTTCTATTTCCGAGACGAGGGGTTACTCTTCCTCCGTCCCGTGTCTTCCCGATGACACGGCACTCCCACACGTTACGAAATCCCGTCTACGCAATAACGTCTATGACGTTTTCTAGTAATCAGATAAATATACAAACATTCCAGTAGAAATACTGGTGAAATGTCAGATACATTAGTTGACACACAGACACTTGATACGTAATCGTACGAGAAAAATACATAGCTACGGCGTCTACTTGAACTGAAGATTACATTGTTGCTTTTACGTTCACAACATACAGATAAAGAAGAAATAAAAGAAGATATTATGAATTGTTTGAATACACGAGGGATTCGCCGCGAATACCAGCTTAATGAACCGACCGCCCCTACGTACTATCCACCGCAACCACCCTTCAATCCGGAGTTTTTCTACGTACATTCTGACTATGAAGCTACCATAGATTCTTCGTACAACTGGGAGTTATACAGTGCTGAAACTGCTTACGAGGGCGATGATGAGTGCGAGCGGTGGGGGCGCAAGCGCTGCTCGCTGTATGAAGGCGTCAACTGCATGCCGGTGAGTGCGTCTGCTTGAGTGCGCCGCGCCGCACGCTACCGTACTGAACGCGCTTACGCACCTACATCGATCTCCTTTAATAGTGTGCATAAAGTCTGACTTATTTTCAGTGTGTAATTAACATTAACGATCTCTTTTAGTTTCTTATTTGAGAATGTTTTTTATGCGTTAAAGTTTTTACTGTTATTTCATCTATAAAATATGGATCAAAGTGAAAAGGGTGTCCGGAATGCTCCAGGCGCCCATACTGCGATCTATTTCCGGGCACAAGCGTAGGACGTATTCTTGTAAGCGCCGTTCATTTTGAACTACAACATGCGCGAGCTCGGCCGCGGGGGCTCACTCGTAGCAGCCACCATAGCGGCATTGCACAACCGCGCCTCGATCGAGGAGAAACCGCGTCCGGTCAAACCGGGATCTGCTTGCGGAGAGTCCAGAAATGTTTTGCGATCCGTGAAGGAAGATAGCGCCGACCGCCTACGACGTGCATCGGGTGGCAGCGAGCGCCCTGTGTCCACAGCGTCGGAGGCGTCTGAACGGGATTCCGCATCGGTTCAGTCCAGCGAGGAGCCGCCCCCATGCGAGAGTACGTAATTCATGGTCAGTCGACGAATCACTGACGTATCGTTGTACTGGAACGCGGCCAAAATCTAAATAGAGACACGTTAGTGACTCGCACTGCGAGTTTGTCGCGCAGTGTCGCTCGTGCAGAGCCTCATGTCCGACCGCGAGTTCTTGACGGAGCCCTTTGACGAGGATGAGGAGCGCGCGGCGGACTATGTGCATCCCGCCGTGCGCTCCTACATGTACTCGCCTATGGGTGAGTTGTCGATACTCGTCGTGGTCAGTTCGTGAGACTCCGTAGAGCTGCATACTGACCCATTGTCTTATGACAGGCGGCGACTCCGATAGCCCGGACGAAGCAACAGTGAAGTGCACAACGTGGAAGGAAGGAGTTGTGCCTCCGTCAGGCCGCGCCGACTCCTCCGATACAGAATCAAGTTCTAGTGACGTTGACTCCGATGAACACGAGTACCAGGCCCAATGCGTGGATGTTGACTACCGCACTCTGACACCGAGCAGGAGGTTGGACAACTCAACACGCCGTGATGATGATTTTAAATGGATGCCTACCGGAGAAATAGTAGATGATGATGTAGAGGAACCGACAACGATGGAGCCCCGAGCAGAAGAGTATTCATCGGCTAGTTTAGACAGAAGGCGGAGAACACCTAGCGATCGTAACGATCGCGATCGCAAATCTAGGTCATCGCTGTCGACAAAGCCGCCTCAACATCCGTCTAGCGTGCGAGCGTCACCGCGACCTCGACGCTCAAGACCTGAGGAGTCTACTCCTGAGCTTCAAAGACGTTGGAATTCGTATGAACACTTCCGATATCCAGACGGTGCACCCGCTCCGGCGCCTTGGTGGCCGCCAATGTGCTGGTGTCACGGGCCGCCCATGCCTCCGCCCTGCTGCATGCACGACCGAAATTGGCCCTCGCACCCTTCGCTCCCACCAATACCCACTCGAACATACAAGGTATGAACAGTATCGTGACCGTAAATTATAGCACTAATTAACGGTATTGAGCGTTTGTATTCCGGTCACTCGACTGTACAGTGCTAGCCAATAAATTACACTCAGCTTCAAGTTCAAGGTGTGCGTGCCTTTGTGAGTACGTACACAGGGTCGATTATCGTCGTTTTCAAATGGAATTTTAAATCAGACCTGCTTGTGTGAAATTATTTACATACTAAATTTTGTGTTTGTTTAACATTTTGTAGGTGAATAACCATGCACTGCCGTACTGCCTTTCTCAATATCACTTAAAAATATGTATTATTGGTGTTAAAAAGTACTTTTGTTCCAGAACGATGCAGAGGAGCGAGTGCGGCGACTGGAGGCGGACAAGGAGAGCCTGCAGTTGCAGGTACAGGTGCTTTCGGAACAAATTTCCGCACAAAGTGAAAAGATGACCGATCTGGAACGGGCGTTGCACGACACTCGGCAGAGACTCGATGACGCTGAACAAAGGCTACAAAAGGTAAACTAAACAAATTGTAACAGCTACTATTTACAAAGTCAATGTGTTTATTGCTTCCATGTGTTTAACCTCCTAGGGCCATGTAAATCAGAATATACATAATATGTTAAGTAACTCAGACCTAGACAATATTATTCCTATGATCACGTAGACGCTCAGTGTGTAATCATAATTAAAATATGTATATAAAATATGTGTGAAAATACGCAGTGTATCTAGAAAAATATATTTTTCATACTAAACTGTGGGCACACTTGCTTAAGCCTGAAGTATGTAATTATAATTATTTAGTGTATTTTAATGTACATTGAGCGTGTAGCGCTTTTCCCATTGTATTTAGCTGGGTCTTGAGAGGTTAAATTTTGAAAAATCTATTATTTTTTAATTTAAACAGTGCCTATCCACATGACCCTGTTAGAGCGCCACAATTAAATGTAGGTATAATAAATAATATCTTAACATTTTTAAGAGAGCTTATATCGGTAACTAATAAAATTTTAACTAAAATAGTAAAACTAGTAATAAAAATAGTAATTGTAATATATATTCCAATAAATTATTCCTCAAAAACTCTTCAGCCGGCTATAATCCCGTTTTTTAATAAAAAGTGCGTTAAGAGATTTGCTAAAGAGACCTTTTTACTCAGGTCATTTCAGCAGGTCAGGAGACAGCAGTTTTACTCAGGTCATTATCGATTTAGTAAAATAAAACTTAGTAATTAACAATTAAAACTCGAAGCCATTTCTAACTAACTGCTGCGTGGCCGAGCAGTCGTCATGCTGGTCTGCCATATAGAATTCCCGAGTTCTATTCCCGGGCCGTGAGAAATATTTGTATGGCCTACATTAATTTCTCTCGTGAGTTTGTAGGGTGTAGTTTATGGCTGTCAACGTGTGTATCCATGGCACTCTCGACTATGAGCCGGTGCGTTATTATTATTTATTTATGCCTTAAAACTAAAGTATTCAGTTACAACACCTTTGGGATAGGAAGTAGTATAACAATAAGAGCACCATTTTATTCAAGCTCAGTCTATTTCCCTATTGTTTTATGATTATTCGACCACCGTTACCTTTCTCTCAAACAAGAGAAAATTACAAACTTCTAAGATAATGATCGTGATTCCCCAGGCCGCTGTAGTTAAATTAGTTGGTAAACAAACTTTTCCCGGGAGTTTATAAGACGAAACGGAGGGATTCCTGTCACTATGGCTACGGGACTTTAGATACAAATTGATAAGCTTATATAATGTGTTTCCAGTATTCAAAGAATAAATAATAATTACTCAAACCACAAATAATATACTTCCGGACACATAATTCGAGGCACCTCGCATTTTTGTCTTAAAAGGCTAGAATAGAAAAGTAGTGCTATCGTCGAAGAAAAAGTTTTCCCCCGGTTTTGCAAATCCAAATTTCCAACAAGGATTTATGAAAAAGACGTTTAGTATACTAGTTTCAAAATTGCTTAATAGTTTTTGATCAATCAAACATTGTTTGAGCTTAGGGCATTTAGTACTTCGAATGCGAGGTGGGTCGAATTATGTGTCCGGGAGTGTATAATACTATACTGGTACATATTACTCAATCTCATAGAAAGAGATGTTATACTCGTAACTCCGCTTATTCGGGAAAATTTGTTTCTTAAGAATCGACACAACGTCAAATGACTTTGGTTGATATATACTATACTGATACACGGTGTGAAAACACGATTCCTAAAAATATTAACGATAGAAAAAAAAACAAACTTCCCTCGAAATTCTACAAGAAAACCTCGGTATTCAATAGGTACTTTACATATTATAGACCACGTATACTATGCGATATACATTTTTAAATGGCTTTAATTACATTTGTAAAAAATATAAATTCTGAAATAAAGCCAGTGTCTCTGCCGTTTGATCCAAACAAAATGAACCGTATTATTAATACGGGAAAACTTTAAATTGGAGCTGAGCTAGTACCGACTCTTAACGCTTAATGGTGCCAAGTAAACCCGCGATGCGATTGTTATAATAATCGAAAGGGCCAACAGATGGCAGCTATTACATTTTTGCCAAGGTTATTGCTCCTGTAATATAATTGCAAGTAACAGTGTATATAAATAAAGCTTACTGATATAATAAGTTCATTTATTTTTCCTGCGGTCACCATTGTGGCCACGTTGTGATACATGAAAATGTCATGAAAAATTTGTAATCTTTAATGAAGAAAATTGCGCATTTTTTAATCCATTTTCACAATTTTTTTGTCTGGTGAATTATAAATATTAGTTTTAAGGTAGTGTCTACAAAGTTGAGTTTGACTAGTTAATATACAAAATATGTTCAATTCAATTCTTTTTCTTTTTTTTATAATAATTTATGTATCTTATGGTAAGCTACACGCCTGTCGATAACAGTGCAGTGCCACTCAAAGCTTTAAATTGCAAAGATCTGAGGGGCAGTGCCACTGCGTCCGTCACCCCTGAGGCATAAGTTGACAAGTCACATGTGCCTGTAATTTCACCCCTTACCCTTCGAAATAGGAACACAGTAATGCTGACATTACTGCTTGGCGGCAGAAATAGATAAGGTGGCAGTACTTCCCTAGACGAACTCTTTCACAAGGAGCTCTACTGCTACTAATAATAATAACGCACACACTCAACATAGCCCCGCACTAGGGAAACCCTGTGTCGCAGGTACCATGGACACACACATAGACAACCACAAATTACACCCAAACTCACTAGAGAAATAAATGTAGGCCATATAAATTTTTCTACCAATCCGGGAATCGAACCTGGGACTTCTGCGTGGCAGTCCGGCGTGGTAACCATTCGGCCACGGAGGCAGTTTAATACCTATTTCTTTATTGGCTGGAAAATGGCTTTAAGCTAATCGCTGTGGACTCTGCAGGGCACTGCAAATTATATTTAGAGAGAAAAGGGGATTTACTCTTTACAATATTTTGAAATTTATTATGAAATTTAAATTTTACATGTGGAACTTCTCGTACCGTTGTTGGCACCATGTTGGCACTCGTGTCACGGCCATTAACCACTTCTACTGTATTTATTATTCTGTGGCTTGAACAATAATTCGAAGTAGCACATTCTTAGATTTTACAATTAGGGTAATATTTAGATTACCTTAAGATGACCTCTACGAACAAAGAACCAATAATTGTGTTAACAGTTGAAAAAATTAAACAAACAAATACGTTTTCGTTAAAAGGAATATACGGACTGACCCAAATAATGTACGCAGATAACGCAATAACTGCCGGTACACCAATTAATCGTCAGAACACGGTGGTAAACCACCGTGTTAGCATTCAGTACGGGCGGAATCTATCGGAATGAATGCGCTATTGAATAATCATGATGATCGTGGGTAGAGCGGTTTCTAACACCCGAGACTCGCGCCCCCGTGTTCTACAATGCTTGGGAAAATTGTGTAATATGTACCGCCTGATTTATAGCTGGAAACAAATTCATTCCTTAGTTTGTAATAATTATTAATGAAAAGACAAATATTTGTATGGCCTACATTTATTTCTCTCGTGAGTTTGGGTGTAATTTGTACTTGTCTATGTATGTGTCCACGGCACCCGCGATACAGGTTTTTTTAAATATCTAATAGACATACGGTTGCCTAAAAAAATGCCTATTCACTCTAGCCTTGAATAGCCCCAAATTGTACTTTTCGGGAAATAAAGATGCCGATGCCGTGGTAGAGCATTCCATTCCTTTGCCGTTCGCATCAGAAAGAAGGAAGCAAAGCGCTTAGTGCGAATAGGTGGAATATCAACGACATAAGAATGGAGTGCTCCGGACCTTCTAGTCGACCGAAGGAGGAACGGTGAGGGTGGAACTAAATTGAAAAGTTCCTGCGCACACTCACCGAAATGTATCCGATAGAAAACCGATAAACAGGTTACTTTTCTGCGATGGTCGAGATCTTGTAGCTTCGACTCTACAAGAGAATTGTTGTAAATAAGTCTTTTTGCTTTTCGCTACACCGAGTCCAAGGCAGGTAACAGGTAATGGGCAGAGCCGTCCCAAAGGTGGCAGCAGTACTCCATACACGTTCGAACTTGTGCTGGTTACTGATTTAAAATCTGTTCAGGTGTGAAGTACCGCCTGACTTTGTAAAGTATGCCTACTTTTCTGGCAGCAGTTTTTACCAAGCACTCGATGTATCGCCCCGGTTTCCCTATTGCGGGACTAAAAAAACGACATTTTGTTATAATTATTAACACAAAGATCGAGCATTAAGTAATAATTCCTTCGATCCGGTTTGATTCGAACCAACGTCTTCCAGCAAATCGTGTCAGACGCTATGCCAACTAAGCCACGGAATTAAGTCATTCCTTGGTTGTTAAATTAGCTGGCAATTTACGTCTGGTTACTTACACAACTCGATACAATTCTTTACTGGATTCCATTTTTAACCGACTTCGAAAGAAGGAGGAGGTTCTAATTCCAAAGTATTTTTTTGCTTATAATACGCGATTACATTTGTGAACCGATTTCGATGATTCTTTTTTTTTGTTGGAAAGGCGTTCTGAGATTAGTGGTCTCATTCAAGTTGGAAGAAAATGTTCCATCTCTAGGGGTGGCGAATTAGAGATGAATCTTGATTTGATTGATTTAATAATATTTGGCACCAAACTACCGGCATGTACGTGTAGGTGTTTTTTTAAAACTTATGTTGTTAGTTTCCCAAAAATTACTTGTCAAATTTAAGGCCCCGCGCAAACGTATGTCTTGTGTTGGATACAAGGAATATTCTATTTTCATGCAATTGATATGAAATTCACACAACCGGCAGTCGAACACTGTCGCCGGTTGCCGCAATTGCAATTTGTATGTATATAGAAATTGGAAAAAAAAATTGGAAAAATATAATTTCGAAGGCTCATATTATATTCTACGTTCAGGAATATATTTTGAAGTTATATTTAGCGTGAATTATGAAATAAACTTGTGTAGCTAAAAGCCATTTATAGAAA